TGCAATTTCTTTACTGGTTTGCTGTTTGAGTGCATATAAAACTGTGTATCTACTGAAATGATCCACTATCACAAGTATGAATCTGTATGACTTAACCATGGTAAGGTCCCATTATATCCATGGCTACCAACTCCATTGGTGATGCAGGGTGAAAGTTTCTACCAAAGGTATACTCTACTCCTACCATTCATTTGTTCACACAAAGTGCAATCCTTTATTGAATTCTCAATCATAATCTTTAATTTTGGGTGCCAAAAGTCTTTGTAATTATTTGTAATGTCATTCTGGGTCCATGGTGATTGTGAATTTTATTTTTATGGAATTTAGGAGCAGAGTTAGCATCAAATGGTCAGGTAAAACCAGAATGTTTCTTTCTTCAAGGATAATCCAGATCATTTCCTTGTGAACAAACATCTCCATTATGAAAGTGTAAAAGTTCCAAAATAAGGAATAGGTAGCTGACCATCCAATGTTAAATATTCTTTAATTGATTTTAAATTCACATCTTTTTCTTGCTCTGACTGTAAGTCAACAGAAGACAAATCAATTTTCTCTTCACTGTTATCACTGGTAGCTACAAAAGTTAACTCTGGTGTATGTTCATACTGTTCCATTTTAACTGAAATAGAGGGAGAATTCTCCTTTTGATCTTCCATGAATTAGCTCTTCAAATTTACTTTCCTTGGGGTGTATATTCTTCTAATCTTGTTAATGCATCTGCTCTATTTTTTCGTCCTGTCACATAGTTAATTGTAAATTTTAAATCCATTAAAGCCATGACCCATTTTGCTGTGCTGACATTCAATTTGTTTGCTTAAATGTTTGACTAGACTCTGATGTCAGTATAAAAAAGAATGCTTGTCTTGAAGTAATGTAAAAATTTCTTTACAACCCAGTAAACACCAAATGCTTCCTTTGATAGGCTGCATATTCATTTGATTATTGTTGAATTGTTTTGAAGCTAGCAATGGTTTCATTGTTTTCTTCCCATTCTCATCTACATAAACTTGTTCAAAACTCCTCCTACAGCTACATTCGATGCATCTGTTGTTAAGTGAAAATCTTTAGCAAAATCAGGTATTGTAATACAGGAGGTTAACTACTGCATCTCTCAACTTGAAAAATGATTGCTTGGCTTCCTCAGTCCATTGCAATTTATCCTTTTTCCCATGTAGTTCATTAACATATACAGAGTTTAGCTACTCTTGCAAAATCTTGTATAAATTTCTTAATACCACAAAATGCAACAAAGCTTAGTAGTGAATTTGCAAACACTGTGCTGTAAATTATATAATTATCTGTCTTGACTTATCTGTTCAATCCCCTTTCTGATACAATTGTCCAAGAATGAACTTTTCTTTCAAAAACACACATTTACTTAGTTTAATCTTAAAATTGTACTTTTGAATCTGTTGAAGAATGGTCCCAATGCTTCCCAATGTTGGTCCAGCGACTTGTAAATATTATTATGTCATCAAGTAGTTTAGCACAAATGCTTACATCCTTTAGCACAAATGAATTCATTACATAACTAAAATGAGAGGGCATTCGTTAATCCAAAAGCATCTTAATAAATTCAAACAAGCC